ACCGAAACGGTACCAACGCGACATCAAACTCGGCTTGCTTCGATTGTGCGTCGAGTTTGTCGCGCTGCAATGAAGAGTATGTTGGAGGCGGATCTGGGTTTGTTGGATGTCTCAACGGTGCGTGCAGACTCGTCTCCGAACAATCGCTCCTTTGTATGAGGATGGAGACGCTATCGATCGACGACCGTTTCTGTAGTCGGTTTGCTTGATTTGTCAGTCGGTGCACCAGACGACGTGTCTCACTATTCGTCCGTCTTTTTGTCCGCTGGTGTCTTGTTCCGTCTATCGGGCAAGACGATCGTCTGTCCGTCCGTCCAGAAGACGTCCCGAAAAGCGAAACGGCCCGAAAGAATTGGATGGAGACTGCCCAATTAAGTCCGTGGGAACACCAGAAGCGACCCGCTGGAAGGTGTCGGTGGTAAACCACGTCACGGCGATTGGGGTCGATCGCCGACGTTCGTTTCCGCTCGCGTTCGAGCGCGAGACGGTCGCTTCTCGGCAGAATATCTACGGAGGGGAAAAATTCAAAAACTCGTCTCCTCGATTGGCGGAGGATTCTCGATCGATTCCCGTACCTTGGTCAGGCCGATTGGAAGACATCTCGACTGAGCCGGTGTTATTTCGGTACATCGAAAACAAATAGGAAAACCGCAGATTATTTGAGCATGGATTCGCTATAGTGAGTATCAGAGCATCACGTCGTCCGTGAACTCACACAAAAATAACACGCCGTTGGCACGCCCCGACCGCGACCAATAGAAGATTGGTCACGCTCACATCCCGAAAGACAAGACGCTCTTCAAGTAGTCAGCGAGTGGCTTGCTTGGTTTGACAGCGACGGGGAATTTCGATCACTACGAGAGTACAGGGCAAAGAGAACTACAATTTTCGAAACGTCCATCTCCTGAAAATCTTTCCCTGGACTCGAGAATCCACCCGCGTTTTTGATCACGCTGAACATCTCAGAATTGTTTTCGGAGTCTGGGCGTCAGCGTGTGATCATGTGGGCGTATGATCGAATAGATGGGAATTCACCGTGGTCTTCTATAATTCCAAAATTCAATTTTCGCGCATCTTGGAAATCCACCCTCGCCCAGAACCAGGGAGTTCTTCGCCTCCATTGAAACTTCGCCCCAGCGATTCGGAATGACCCTCGTCCGCCGACCGGTGGAGTGACCCGTCCAAGATCCCTAGTTGGGCTCAAGTGACGGAACTCCGGCGGGTCCTCCGATGCGATCCTTCGTCCCAGAGAGGATGCAATCAAGATGCTCTTCCCGATTGCTCGGGCACTCCCGATCTTCCGTAATTCCGCGATGTCCTTCCCCTCGAATTTTCGCAATCTCGCGAGCCAAACATTTTGATCTCGGTCATAACTCGCGCACGCAACAGAGTTTCGGACTAGTCGTTCTAGATGGTCCCAATCACGCAAACCCCATGTCCTAGTATCCAAGACTCGCTCGTACCTATGGAGCTCGTAAATATATTCGTCACAAGCCACACGGCCCTACCAATCATCTAATCGATCGGAAGCCACAGACTCTAACGACCCTATCCATGTCACGCCCGATCGTATGTTGCACAGCTCCGCTCATGCGGTATACCCTCGTCTCGACCGCACCGCGAGTTATGCAGAACCGATGAATGGCCGTATGCCGTATGCATTGCATATGAGAGTGGATTCCGATCGTACGTATTCCGGTATGAAAAGGAGCCCAAGGAATCAGGTCAGTGACGTATGAGGACGGCCTGAATTCAGTCCGAATTTCAGGCACTCTCGTCATGAACGAGTCGGCGATCATAGACGAGCTGGAAAGGATAGGAAATGCGAGAACGGATTTTCCTCTGTCGAAGCCCGCGCCCTACGCGGTACCTGGGCTCATCAAGTTTGGAACGACGGAAGTCGGCATTCTGCCAGCGCTAGCATAGAATGATACTTCTTCCATCAAAGGGAAAACAAAGATCCGACCTTCTGGCGCTTGTCCCGCAGATCAGTTTCGACCGAGGCAGGCATTCGGGAGCGGATTCGGGCAATGAGTCACGGAGCGTCGCTCATAAAGCTCCTCAGCTCGATGTTCGCTTTTTTTCAAATCAATCGTTCGATTTCCCCTGTGGGCTGTTGAGAGAAGAGCGTAGCCTCACTCTCCCATACAACAATGGCCGAGAGAAGTGCCCGAAATACTTGACGACTGTTATTCGAAAACGGAAAGAAAGAATCAAGCAGAAAAGAACGACCCGAACGCATTTGTTCTGGATCTTCCGTCGCCGACGCCTCCGGATTCACTGATTCAGTGATCGTTCGGTCGCACGCTCAGGTTCTACGGGATTCGTCGTCGCCGTCGCCGATGGAACCGTTGTAATTGTGCATTGTGAGCCGCTCTCGCAGTCAGATCCTCCAGAAAACCGGAGGGGTTCTGCCGTGAGTTGGCTGGCTGAAGGAGCTCGACCGATTTTGACGAGAAAGTCACCCGATACCCGCGGAAGACGAAGATCGTTCGATCGATCGAGATCGTCTGTCAAGTGGTGACTGGAGACACCAGTCTGGTAAGGGGGGATAGGAAAAGGGAGAAAAAACGTCCTATGAGTCCGAAAGCCGTATTCCGTCACCGCTCCGGCAATAATTTGGAAAATTCCGACCAGATAGGAGCGACTTGCAAACCGTTGGCGGTAAGGTTTGAATTTCCATTCCTTTTGTGAGCAACGGCCGCGTCCCGAGCTCTGCGGCAGAAGCGCCGACGTCATCATCACGTCGTTGCCGAGGCTTTGCCTAAGCGATGACTGAACGTCGAAAGCCGAAAAGTAAATGAATCAGGCAGCGCCAGAGGGCGACTCGAAACTTCCCCGGCTGAGCTCAAACTTTCTGTGCCACCAGTCGAGAGAATAACCAACCCACCACCGATCCGTCGCATGGCATAGAACACCGTCTGACAATACGTGCCTCGGTTACATCATCGTTCGAGGAGCGGGAGCCGGGGTTCCGCGGCCAAGAATAATCATCATCATTGTCATCATCTAAATCATCAGGATCATAAGAGCGCAAGTCTGACTGCAGGGAGCGAGCGGATGAGCCAACGAACGAAGTCTCGGGAAGCCGGCATGTGACAACTGCCGACCGCCGCGTCCCAGACCAGAACCTCATTTTCCACTCAAGGTGTTTGAACTTCGGACGTAAGGCGAGCGCCGAAAGAAAAATGTTTATTATTTTCGGTGCATTATATTCCTTTCTCCCTTGGAAAATTCTTTTGCAAACACATCCAAAGCTACGATCGCATTCAACAAAGAGCGGAGAACGCTAAGCGTGGGCGACAGATCTCGAAATCGGGGACAGAAATGAATTCTGAGTAAGCGATCGCATTTCTCGGAAGTCGCAATATTCCTCGGCTCCGTGCGACCGGAATCGTGGCTGGTGGAATTTGTGATTGGACCGAGCGGGATCCGAGACTCAAAAGAGAGGGACAAAGAGTTTCGCTGATTTTTCGCGAAGCAAAAACATTAAAATTCCGAAGTCGCTCCCGGGTATACAAGCACGATCGAAAATCAACGAAAATCGCCAGGAATCAACGAAAATCGTTTCTTTCTCACGGAGACGAGGAGCCTTTCGCCTATCGGAATCGATCGCTCGTTCAGTCCCATCGACAATAGGCTCGCTCGACGCCTTTTGCGATTCGCAGCGAAGTCTTCGACTCGTCCAATTAAGACATGAATGAACTTTCGGGGTTTCAGTACCGAAATCGAACTTCGTCCGCAAGCCTACCCGTGGAGTAGCGCCTATACCGAGCTTTATTGTCCAGAGGAATGAGTCGGAATAAGTCTTCTGTCTAATTGTAAGAAGATTCCCCCCGATCTCTCTCAGTAGGTGCTCTCATATCGCGACAAAGAAACGACCGACAAGAGTCCCGCGGAATGGGGAAGGCGACCACTTCAGGAACGAACGCAGCCCTCGATGCGAGATGCATGAGCGAAAAAATATCATCTCGATTCATTCCAGTGGCATGAAGAATGCATCGACTCACTCACTCAGAAGCTACGTAGCCACGAGCGTCAACGGAATACAGAATGCATTCGTCCCATGCGTATGATCGTGAATCGTATTTTACGGCCTCCAGCCCACAGGGTGAGCGGATAACCGGCGAATTCGTTCGTTAGTTCCCTTGCTCGCAGCTCTATATCGGGCCCACTGAGCGTTTTCAACCTGTTCGACAGTCTTCGATAACACCAGAGGCTCTACACAACCTGAAGGCATTGTCCGCGGGTAGTGGGGGGGAGCTGCTCGGCGAACAGAAGTACAGGGCAGATGCATCGAGCATTTCGGTCGAAAACTACGAGGAGACCTGGAGAGTATTGCTCTCGCTGAGAAAAAGGCCAGACACCTCTTGCGGCCTCCTGGCGGAAATGCAAAAGGCCTTCAGAGTTTCGGCTCGGGTTGCGCGAACGTCGTTCTGGCGGGATCGCTTTCGCGAATCGATTCGCTGTGTGAGCCAAGACGAGAAGCGGTACCGAAGCAATCACCAATAATTGATTTAATTCTCATCAAGAGATCAGATGTCGGGCGTGAAATCCCGGAACATTAATGATCCACGCTAAACTCTTAACGGCCGCATCCAAGCGACCAGAGAATCGTTATGGTGCCGACAGCATCTCGCGGAGTGACTGCGCCAAGCGAACAAAAGAAACTGAGAATCTAGTTCAGCTAGTTGAACCGTTCATCTTGACCCAACGGTCACACGGAACGTTATTACTTGGAAGTATCTTCGAAGTTCTAAAGTAACCGAACGAGGAACTCGATTACTCGAGGGATCGCTGTCCTACTACTCTCATACATATATTTGGAGGATCCATTTCATTTCTATGCCGCGACATCCGAATGCTGACGGAGATATTTTCTCTCACGGGATACCCGACAGAGCCGATCGGAAAAGTAGTGTCGAGCGCGTCGCATACTTCTATTCGGCGTTCCCGATCCTCGGATTTACTTGAAGAATTTACGATGCCCCTGAACTCACCTGCAACGGCGTTGGCTAGCAAGAGCCCAAAAATCCAAAGACACAACGTTTCCATATCCTAGGCCACATACGAAAGTTCGCACTTTCAGAAACACACAGTCCCGTTCTTCCCGGTGCTCCCTTCCAAACAAAACTCATTCACGAGGAGCGGTCGCATGTGCCTCTTCATCCGGTGATTTCTTTGAAGCAATATCCACGATGAAGCACATTCATCCACCCATACTATTGAACCTTCACGAGATCCTCGACACAGATCACATCGAGTCGAGCACAAGAAACTTCCTCGATAGCTCCCGGTAGACAAGCGACGGCGACGACTCCGACACGAAGGAGGACAACCTGTGGCTCTGGGAGCGGGACTCGAGAATTCCCTCCGGGAAAAAAGCGGCTCGTTCGTCAATTCTGAATTGGAACGGCTTCTGAGTACTGTCGTCGTCGCCGAGAGAAGCCGGCCGCCACCGAAACGAACCCTCTCTCGAACGGACGCTAGGAGAGAACTAGCAGTAACAACAACACACACCAAGCCGACTAGTGACTGAGAGCCAGTGAGCTAGCGGTAGAGCGGGCGAACACGCACTCCACAACCAAAACGATCGCTTCAACGACGCACCAGCGGCGGCTTCCTCCAAGCCTGTGCCAAACAACCGACAGATACCAAAGCACTACCCCTCTCTGTCACCGGGAGCAGCACTCGCTTCAGTTGAGGCGACGGCGCGGCGGTGGTGTATCCACAACAGAAGAGCTTCGGACGGCGGCCGGCAGATGTCGCTACCTGCCCGGTTGCTCTTGGCAGCGGCGACATGGAAGCCTGCCAACATGATCTGTGGAAGCTTTAGGCATGGCGCGAAAGATTCGAATTCCGGTCGGGAGGCACGCCTCGCGAGGAACTGCTCCACGGTTGGGGTGGCCGATCACGTTGCCTCGGGTAACCACCAGGCACAAAGCGGACTCGAAGCTTGGCAGTATCCTGACCCAGTGAGCTCATCGCCCCAGAACATCGTCAGGATCTTCCCAGGACAAGGAGAAGATCGAGATGGCTCGGAGCCGGGCACGGACACACCCCATTTTGATTTCGAGCTTCGTTCTGAAATGAGCCTATTCATTCTCGCTTCAGAGATCCTCTCACCTTAAGGAGGGAGAAAGTCACGTTTTTCGACTCGTCTCGACTACGAGGGAACATCCGACATCTCCAGGCATGAGTTGAAATATTGTGTCCTCTGCTTCTAGGAGGCTAAAGAAGTAATCCTAATACTCTTAATTCGGCTCGGACCCCAACACTGGGAATCTGACTGGAGTCTTCTCTGCTGGCACGGACCTTCAAAAAATTGCCCGGCTGGCTTTTCTCGTAGAGTTTGAGCTTGGAAACGCACCCTCCTCCTCAGGCCCCAGACCCAGACGCGACTTCTAATCCAGCAAACAAGCCTGCGGGGTTTCGTGGATGGTTTAGACAATGCTATCACAGCCTGATTGGTGCTCCTTGCGATTCGCGAAGACGGGCCCAAATTCGCCGTCAGGCCACAGAGCCCCGATCAGGGGAAATAATTGTCTTGTTTCGGGAGGTCTTGCGAGCTTCTGCCGTCGCCGACGTGGAGAAAAAACTTTTGACGATGAGGCCTCGCGACCGGGAGGTTACGCGGATCATCGACAGCGTCCCTCGGTATCTGGATTGAGTACTGTGAGAATAGGCCGAGCGGATATTTCCTCATCCGAGAACTTCGTTCCGCTTCCTGTTTCAGTTAGCTTACAGTGCGCTCCTGAAGTTTGACCTATGCCCCGCTCAGTTCGCTGTTATCGGCAGTGATTCAGGCAGGTCTTGTAGAGGCTTTCGGGAAGACATCCATGAAACTCTTCTCACGGTAGCTCAATTTTTTATTCTTGCAACCAAAATCTACACCACTGGCTATTTCCTACCCTGCGCGCTTTTCCGATTTCGGCCGAAGAATTTCCCCGGTGGCTGAAAGGGCGAAGTCGTATGTTGACTGGTTGTCGAGAGCTCTCTCTATGGCTTCGTCCAATGTCTCTAGGGTGATGTTTTTGAAGTTCTCCTGAAAGAAAAGTCCATTTGTCATTTGCTTGGCAATTGACGGCTGGTCGACCGGAGCTCACAGGATTCCCGACCGCGACGTGAAACTTCTCAAATATTTCGTACGTTTCGACCTGAAGTCGGAACTCACCATTTCCTTGCTGAGGAGCTGGCGAGCTTCTTCGATTCGCCGCTGCTCGTTCTCTTCGGCTACCCTCTTCTCTTCCAGCAGCAAGGCCATCCTTTCGTGGAACGCTTTCTCATGCTCGATCTTTCTTCTCTCGGCGATTTCCATGTTCTCCTGCTCGACAGCTTTCAGCTGCGCTTCGAAAATCTCCTCTTCGTGTATCGTTGTCTCAGAGAACTTGCCTTTCTCTGCCTCGGTTCGAGCCTGCTCGTCCCGGAAGAAGTTCCTGCGGGGGAAAATCCGACTCTCAATTTTTTCCCCATGAGAAGGGTCACGTATTCTCCTTCGCATCGGAGATCTCCGTAATATTCACTCTGTCCCCTCTCCCCCACTACCCCCTCCCGAATGGAAGCACCGATCTACTGAAACTTACTGAATAGCACGGATTTCCGCATCGTAGTTCTTGACAAGTGCCTCGTACTGCAGTTTTTCCTCTTCACTGATTACGGGATGTTTCGGCAATTCGAAGAGCTTTGAGGGAGCGCGTGGCATCCATCGAGGTTTCCGAAACCGAGGAAGATCGCTCCGGAATAGACGAACTTGAGTCCGAGCAAGCACAGCTTCCTTTTGAAGAAAACGTTCGATATGGCACAGGGTGCGCAGCATCTGCAATTAAAATCAGCAGAGGCGTTCAGAAATGCTATTGCAAACGTGACGAAGGATTCGACTATTCGAACATGAACTCAAGCTTTGACTCACGCTAACTCCGAAGCTTTCCCCGGTCCCAAATGAATCGAGAAATCTCGGCCCGGGAGCCGGAGAAGAGGGAACGATTGAAGGAGCACGCGCACCGTGGACTTCCGTCGTTTAAGCTGGCTCTACATCTGGCTTTGAAACAATCTGGAGCGATTGGCTCCTGATCGTCATTCGGGGACAACGAATCCTCTCGAAGATCCCTTATTCGTACTTGCCAATAGCGCCAGAAAACCCTTCCCCGCCGGCGACGATCCTAGGACATCTCGATGCAACGCTTGCGCGGAACCTTTCCAATCATCCTAATTGACGGAACAACCTAAACATCGGCGTCTCCCTCTCCTTGCCCGGGTGGTAGTGGCAGCGGAAGAAGCCCTTCGGTCGTGTACACTGTTTAGGTTGAATCGGACTCTGGACTTGGCTCACCTTCGAAAAGCGTGCTAGCGAGATCAGGTGAGAACCCAGTCAAGCTTCGTGGATTTGTCGTGACGTTTCCGAGTCGCACCAATGCTATCGAGGAGCGGGGACGGACATTGTCGAGCTCGAATCGGCTGCGGACGGGTTTTCACTCATCGAGGAGGAAACACTGCACATTCGAGGCGCCTCGTCAGTGGCTCGGCAAGTGACTTGCAGATTGCCAGTCTCCGGGCCTGGTGAATACTCCCGCATTGAGGCCGGAAAAATCGCTCGTCGTAATTTTTCGATTCCCCGAATTCCTCTGAAAGATCGAACCCTGTATTGATTCGTTCCGAACCTTCATCTGGCGCTCAAACAGTATCGCCGGATCTCTGACCGATCAGTCCCTATTTCGTCTATTCTCGACCTGGGAGACATCAGGCAAACCAATATCCGTAGCTCCATGAAACCTACGGTTATATTTTCCCCGGAGCGAATGAGCTCAACACGGCAGGATAGTGATGTCGGCGATGTTGTTCTTCGAAACTTCGGGGATGTCCAGCTAGATATCATTGGGGCTCGTGTTTCAAGTCAGCTCAACTTCGAATTTCGGTGGAGATTGCTGGATAGGCAGCAGTATTCCTGCAGGGAACGGTCCCGAACGACGCCGACGATCATCTGCCTCCATGGAAGCGAATCGAAATCTCACGTGGATGGTTTATATCTGCATAAAGTTGAAGTCACTCCATGGCTGTAACGCCGCTCCGATGGTGACCTCACAGGATCAAATGAGTAGAAGGCACCGGAATTTATCCCTGTATTTTAACCTTCACACCGATATTCCTCTTCCAGAGACTAACGAGAATGTCGGGGGACAAGAAAGAGACGTACGGAGGCTGTGAGGGCCCTGACGCGATGTATGTGAAACTCATCTCGTCGGACGGACACGAGTTCATCATCAAACGGTCTCATGCTCTCACATCCGGAACTATCCGCGCCATGTTGTCGGGGCCGGGACAGTTTTCCGAGAATGAAACCAATGAAGTCAATTTCCGTGAAATTCCGTCCCATGTCCTGCAGAAGGTCTGTCAATACTTCACGTACAAGGTGCGCTACACAAACTCCTCGACGGAAATCCCCGAGTTTCCGATTGCACCCGAGATCGCCCTGGAACTTCTGATGGCTGCTAACTTCCTCGACTGCTAAACGATCGGATCTCACCACACTTGTTCATAGTTGTATCATAAACGAACGGAAACGAACGGCGCGAGGCGCTCGGCTCTTCAAGATTTACGCGTTCGCTTTATTAGCCTGTATTTATTTGTTTGATTGATCGCGAAGAACGACGGTAGCGTCCACGCACTGCTCGTGTAAGCAAACGAGAATTCGGTCGACCACTTCACTGAGCGAAAACTCGGACACTTGGCAATCAAGAAAAATTCCCCGGAGTCGACTCAAATGCTTCGCCGCATTGTGAGCCGTGGGGCTGTCGCAGGTGATGCGGGACAAATTGATAATTAGAAGAAGGAATAAATATCAAGAATGTTAAAGCGTGATCCTATGGCCCTGTGAATTTCGGGAACGTTTTTCTGTCGAGACAATGAAGAGAAAGAAAAAATCTGAATGTTTTGCCGTTTTATTTTACAACATTCGGACTTGGTCCAGACCCTCGACACAACCTCATGTACAATCGTCCTCTATCGCAGCAGCTCCCGTAGGAGCTGATTCTCGGAGCTCATCTCACTTTTTCTGCTTTAATTTAGTGAAATGAGATAGGAGGATCCCCGACGTGACAGACACATTGAGGGACCCGACACGATTCGTTACGCCAGGCACGGAAACCGTCTCCGTGAAAAACTCGACAAGATCCTGATTGACGCCGTGACCCTCGTTTCCGAGGATCAACAGACGATTCCTTGGCGTAACCTCAAACTCGTTATACGGCTGACAATCAGAATCAGATCCTACGATGTCCCAATTGAGTTTCTTGACGAAAGTCATGAATTCGAGAGGACTCTCCACGGTGCAGATGGTTGCGCATTCCAGAGCCCCACTCGAGGCTTTTGAGACCGTTGTGCTCAAAGCGCAAGACTCCATCTTGGGAACGAGTATGGCATCGACGCCCAGGAATACACAGGTGCGTATAACCGCGCCCATATTCATCGGATCCATGATTCGATCCATGTAAACCAGCAGTCTCCCAGAATCATCCGATTTACCAAATATCTCCATCTGGTCTGACCATTCCTTGTGCTTGAGTCTCGATGCCTGCAGTACAACGCCCTGATGAACGGCATCCCTCGTAAGACTCGACAACTCCTGGACGCATTTGAAACGAATCGGGATTCGCAAATTCTCGGCCCATTCGTGTATCGATTCAAGTTTATCGTTACGATACAAGCCCCGGTTCGGTTTCAAGAAGAGTTTGTAGAATTTGCGCCGCTTCTCGGCGAGGGCGAGTTCCACTGGATGTATGCCGAATAGGAGGTCTCGCCGCGGCGATTCGTATTCCGCCTGAAACCAGAATACAGAGTGAAGATGAATTGCTTTACCCACGGAGTGGGTTCTCGACTCACCGATCCAACTCGGACTCCTATCGGAAGCGGTAAACTCTACTCACTCTCCTTCGCGACAATGCTTTCTTCGGCTTCTTCTCTGTCTCTTCTCGCACTGATTCTTCTACGGACTCAGTCGCTTGGGAAGCGACGCTCCTCGATGGCACCAGTGCGGGGTCGAGCCTCGAGAAGGCTCCAACTTGTCTGGAGATCCCGGATAACTGCTTCAGCATCTGGAAAGAACTCCGGTCACTTAGAGCATTGTCCGAATAGTTACCCAATTCTATGCTTTACAACACTGGCGCGAATCCCCGATGAACCAATCTGTTGCTCCAATTCGTCATTCAGCTGATCTCATGATGAATTCTGAGTCTGAACATGAAAACCTTTCCGCGGGAATTCATTCAGTGCATACTCAGCACAGGACATAATTCGATTTCTCCCGAGCGGCTCATTCACTCAAGTGAATTCCACAGCTCCATCCCCGTCGACAACATTGAGCTCTCACGAGAACTCTCGTGGACCGTCCTTGGAATTCCCATCGCAGCAGTGGGAAAGACTGAATGAAGTGTCAAACACAATGCCGATCCACGCTCTGAATGCTCCGAGAGTTTCGAGAAAGCGGTGCGCGGAAGCCCGACCGCAATAACTCACCTCGAAATTCCGGTCCCTGCCAAGCGCGAGGTCGAGCTTCTGTTCCAGGGATCACGTCGGAGGCTTTTCCCCGCCTTGAGGTCGGGGACTCAAACAGACGCTGAGATTCTTGCCTCCCCAAGAATCGAAAACGTACTTCTCTGACACACGATGCGGCGAGCAGCACGCAGTCGTCGTCTCACCGGCGATTCCCTCCGCTGTGATCACAAGCGCCATCGCTTTTCGTAAACATTCGCTCGAGAAGCTCCGCCTCTTCCCAACTCAGTCAGGAGGAGCTGCTGTTTTCCGGACGGTGTCCATGTACCGCTCACATTTGTCAACAGAACAGTGGTAGCTGATCCCAGTCCAGGTGGTCGAGGGGACTTCGTGGGTTTTAAGTAAGAGATTCCGCTTGAAGAACAGATAACGAGATATTATTTTGCATTTGCCGAGAGACAGTGCGTGAATCGGCTGCATCGATATACGAAGGATTGAGGAATGGAATTCTGGAGAAAGAGCTTGATCAGTACTTTCCCCGACTTGATCGAAAGAGAGTGACGGGGGTAGATATTTCTGGAGTCTTCTACATCATTGTGGAAATATGGAGTTTCCTCGCTCAATCTGACTATCTGCTCTGCGGAACAGATGGCCAACCTCGGACCTGGAGGCATGGGCATGTCGAATCAGATCGGAGGGCCCATGCAGATGAGACAAACCATGGGGGGACCGCCTCAAGGTGAGTTTATATGGTGGGCCTACACTGTATTCGGAAGCTCTCATTCGCTCGCACGATTCATTCTCCACCCACGGAATGTCGGAAAAGGAGAGGTAAATAGACGGATCGTTTCCCCTCCCCCCCAGGAATGCCGCCAGGTGCCATGGTCGGAGGCATGGGCGGTACAATGCCCATGGGCAGCCCCGGATCGGTCGGTGGCGTGCTACCCCCTCATCCTGGGGCAGGACCAGGCCACATGCAGAATCAGGGCCCTCCGCAGGGCCAATCAGCTAGTCAGCAGAACGCGCAGCAAGAAATACAGCTCCGATTCGACAATGTTGCCCGAGTGCGGATGCTCGTCGGAAGTCTCAAAGAATCCCTGTCCGAAGTGGTTCGGGTTGCAGCGATGAATATTTACCACACGGCAGCCGTGGACAACGGAATCCGAGCGTCCTCGGAAGCGGCGCCCCAGCGGCTCGACAAGGCCCTTGAGGAGTTTTTCAATCTATGCAATCAGATCGAATTCACGCTGAAAACGATCCAGGAGTGCGTGTTGCAAGAGAGAGCCTCGCAACGCTACCTACCCATCCCGGTACAGCCGAATAGATACGAGCCCCCGGGTCACCAGGACATGTTCATGTCCTACAGTCAGTTCCTTTCCACAATTGGATCTCAGATAGCGTTCGCCAAAGAACTCCATGAAATCCTGACAGAGTCTGCGAATCGACTTCAGCAGCCTCCACCGCCGCAACCAATGTTCCATTGACGTTGTTGAGGAAAACCCAATAACCAAAGTTCCCCTTATACCGGATGATTGACGTTGGAGTTTTCGCGACAGAGCGGTCACGAGAAGACACGCCGCCTGATCCAAAATGATGAGTGATTCAAATAAAGCGAAGTTTTCGAGTTTCCCGCCTTTTGTTTGATAGACTATAAGCAGACAGCTCCGGGGTTCTTCTTCTTGCGACGGCGGTGGCGGCGGCGCTTGATGTGGCGGCCGCTGCTGCTCCACTGAAGTCGGCTCTATCGGAGTACTTCGATTTTGCCCGTTGTGTGCACCGTCAGACCAGCGCTGAAGGAAAAACTCACCGAGAGCCTCCAAGGAGAGCTTCCACCGACGTCGGGATTCCGAACGTACTTGCTTGAAGTTCAGAGGTACCGATTGACAAAGGCAGCACGGTGAGTAGAAACTGTGATACTGACTCCTCCTGAGGAAGTGCTCTCCGGAAAGGATATCCAGTCGGATGATAATCGGCAGAAGAGAAAGAGGCACAATGCCTAAGACATGCGCGGAATTCTTATGTAACGAAATTCGATGGCTCCAGCTAATTCCTCTCTCTCTCTGAGACGATCTGAAGTCTCTTTTCGAGCAGAGTCTTTCTTGAAGCCTTATCGGAACCGATGGAGGGAGTCATCAACGAAGATGGAACTCCTCACTTTTTTGAGGCAATCGACGCTCTCTGCTGACTCCTTGAGCGACGAATGGCTCTAATTTATTATCGACCGTTTCAGAGAGGATGGCACAGGGACCGATGCAGGGGGGCATGGGCGGTCCGATGCCGCCAATGGGTGGTCCGGGAAACGTCGGACCTGTGGGTCAAATGGGATCCGTAGGGCCAGGCGGGAACATGGGACCCGTTGGCCTCATGGGCCCCGTAGTCACCGTGGGTCCGAGCGGTCCCGTGATCCCTGTCGGCCCGAACGGTCCTGTGGGTCAAGGCGGACCGATGAACAACATGGGCACCATGGGTATGGGTGGTCCGCCCGGTCATGGCGGTCCAGGTCCTGGCGCGCCGATGATGGCCGGTCCAGGTGCTCAAATCCAAAATCCGAGTGGGCCGCCCCCGTCGTCCCAGGCAGCTGCCCAAGCCGCAGCTCAGCAGGAAGCTCAACAACGATTCGACCATTTCGCCCGAGTCCGGATGCTCGTCAATAGTCTGAAGGAATCGCTCTCTGATGTGGTCAGAGTTGCGGCCATGAACATCTACCATACGGCAGCCGTCGACAACGGGGTCAGAGTCGCTTCCGAAGCTCCGCCGTCGAGACTTGACAAGGCGCTGGAAGATTTCTTCAGTATATGCAATCAGATCGAATACAGTCTGAAGACGATTCAGGAATGCACAATGCAGAACAGAGATTCACATCAGTACCTACCGATTCCCGTTCTCCCAACGAAACCCGAAAATTCCACTCACCAGGACAACACGTTATCGTTCAGTCAATTCATCTCAACGGTTGGGCTCAGGTGGCATTCGCCAAGGAAATTCAAGACATTCTGGCTGAGTCCGCCAATCGGATACAGCAGCAACAGCAACCACCGCAAATGTTTCATTAAAAACTAAATTAAGTCGAAGGCTCAGTGTAATAAAAAAATGTACATACAAATTCTGACTTCCGAGCTTTGTTCTGACTTGGAGAAATGACTCTGAAGTGGAAGCGAAAAATCAAAGATTCAATGCCTCGCGAAGAGATGGTGAATGAGCGACAGGCGGAATCCTGGCCGATTGAGAACGCTTTGCGATCGCTCGACTTCTTCCCTGTATTTCTCTCCTGCTCTCAACAGCTCTACGGAGATGTATGTACAATTATTTCGACATCACAAAGATATAATTTATACAGAACAAATAGTCATTCATTTGACACAGGCTCCGTCGTCGATGTCTCCGTCAGAAGCTGAATCTCTTCAATTGGCGTTCGCAGCCTCAATCCTTTCTCCGTGAGAGAATCCACGATCTGTTCGAGCATGTCTTCAAAGTACAAAGCGCAGTCCAAGAACAAGGCTTTCGACCAAGGACAAGTCTGCAGCCCCCGCAGCAGAAGTTCTTTAGCTTTGTCGCGTTCTCCAGCCTGCATTTCCGCCCATGCTTGCAGTCGCCAGAACAGAGGATCGCGGATCTCACCCAGTTGACTCATAGCCCGTCGAACACTCCCAAGAGGCGCTCTATAGTACGAGACCTCCTCTCGTTTTTGCCAATCCTCGTATTCTTGATTCCGTAGGAGATGGAAAAGCAGGATGGAAAACCAAGAGATTTCGGCGTCGTCCTGAGGTATTGGACAAGATCTCCACGCGAGTGGATTCTTGTAGGCGAGGGTCGCAAGAAGCGCGAGATGCTCTTTGGTGGGTCGTTCGGTGCAAGCCAATCGCAGTGTCGATTTCAAGCTGGTGAGCGACGGGGAGAAATGTTTGTTGACCAAAACGTGCAACAGGATGTTCAAACGGTGGTAGGCGGCTTTGCTCAGATGCGACGCCTGACTACTGAGGTACGAGTAAGCTTCGAGCGGTCCCCGCGACGTGAGCTCGAAAAAGGTCGCGATTTCGATCGAGAATTCAGTTCGCTGATTCCTGAGATGGGCTCGTAGAAATTCCATATTACCCTCGTCGATTTCGGAAAGGGTTGCTCTCCTGCCTTGGACCAGGGCGCCCCAGAAGCTGAACAAAGGCTTCAAATCTGGAATTTCGGTGACGTTTTCGTGGATTTCCGAGGTCATGAGGTGATGAATGTCGAGGTGGATTTCAATGAATGTCGCAAGGAAGTTCAGAGGATCGCCACGAAAACTCTTGAGACTGGCCGACAGCGTGCGCATCAATTTGACACCCTTCGATATAGCTTCGTCCCTCTGACCGCAACAAGCGAGCAGCAGGAGCAACTTCGTCCAGATCAAGATATTCGACTGATTTTCTCCGTCCTGGAGAATTTTCTTTCCCAAAGCGATCAGGTTCTCCCCGGAGTGGGGTGCAAGGTCGAGGAGTCTATCCAGGAGCTCTTCTGGCCAAGGGAATTCCGGGAGGAACTCCATGCCCGTTCGGTAGCAGTTGTACAGAAGGGTGCTCAGTCCTTGGAGCTCGAGTTTTGCGAAAGGGAGCTTCAACAATTGATGCATTTTCGAGCTGCCCTCGTCGTGTCCGAGGTAGCTCCTGTCGCCGCGACTCAGATGACTCATGAATGCGGATAGCAGCTTCCTGATGCAGAGTCTATCCCTCGTTCGGAAAAGGAACATCTCGATGTCGTCGAATAGAACGATCTGCTCGACATCTTCTGCGTTGATTTTCGCCGGTCTCCATTGAGTTTTTTGTCGATGTAATTCGAGCATCGCCCACTTAACGTTCAGTGGCTGAGCGGACGAGGTAATTTCGTCTTCATCCTTGAAATTCCTGTTCTCCTCGGGCGGCTCGAGGTGGGGATTGTCGTTTGACAGCGCCCAACCTACATGATCGTTTTCCCCGACTCTGGGACTGCCACTTTCCCAGAAAAGCTCAAACATTTTTTTCAGGGCGTCCTCGTTCCGCTCCGTGGACAAATAGCCCGGCTGACTGAGATTGAAGTCGAGCATCGCCTGGAAAGTCGATCCGCTGAGAATTTTGAGCCTTAGGGATGAGGGGAATCATTCTCTCACTCGAATCACGGGGAGCATTTCGTCGAGGAAAACATTCAAAACGCAGAATGCAGCGACAGGGACATACCTGGAAGGTCGAGACCGCTTTCTCAGTGTGACCGCACTCGACCAAAAAATCGGCGTAATCCGCGATGAGATCCACGAGGAACATATCGTCCGACCTCGTTCTCCGGTAGGCTTCGATCGCTCTCCTGTAGCCCGCAGTCGCATCCTCGAGCGAGAACTTTGCAACCACGCGAACTGAAGCAAAACATAGACTCTCTCAGATTTCTGCTTGATTCCCCATGGAGCTCGTTTCTCTAATCGACCAAGAAATGGGGGCTCGCACGACTTCAACGATCCGGATGACTCACATTTGCTTCGGGCATACTGCGCGTATTTCAACCACATTTCATTCTTCAGGTCTCGGCGCTCGATCGAGTAGTCGCTCATCCTCAGCACATCGTCCCATTCGCGACTCAATTCATCCTGACGATCGAGCGCGCACAGAAGATCGAATTTCTTGAGACGGAGCTTGAGGATTACCGGATTCTTGGAAATGGCCTCCGCCATCTGAAAAAATTCCCAGTCAGGGGTCCGCGAAATTCAGAGGTCCGCGGAGATTCTCGACCGGGTGTCGAAGATGCCCCAGAACTCCCGAAGATCAACGCAGGAACATTGTCCGCAGACCTTCCCCCCCTCTCCCTCCCCCAGTTCTCAACTCAATTGGATCCCTCACTCACCACGCTCAATTGTTTCTCCAAGATCGCTTTTCGGAGAGCTTGTGCATCTATGTTGCTTCCAGCTAGGCTGCACGGCACGAAAACTCGCTCAAATTCGCATAGTTTCAACCAGAGCTCGACGTTCCCAGGTTCCTTGCGACATCTATTCGATAGGTCCGCGTGCTCTTTTATCAGACTCGGCCAGCTTGGTAGTTCCGAGTCATTGTCCTCATCGAGCAATGCGCTTCCAAGAGATATATAAGATGTCGTTTTCAAAGCTCTCAGTTTCTCATTGACTGCTATGGACATCGACGGAGGAGACATTTTCGCTTTGAAGTATCTTCGCGTCTTCTTTCGAGGCCGGAATTCCCTCCGTACTTTATACACAGCTGCGCAGGTGTGGGGCAACTGCTCGAAGGCTTTGTTGCTCTGATCGCCCTTGGGATCGACGATGTAGGTGATTTTGGTTGGACCTATGTCTTCGAGGAAAGCCCATTTACGTTTCAGGTACGACGCATCTGGGCTGCGAGATCTCGAACGCTTCCTCTGTTTCTTGTGTTTCTTGTCCTTCCTGTGCTTCTTATCTTTCTTTTTGTGTTTTTTGTGGTGTTTCGTCCCATGTTCCCGCCGAGCAGCAGGCGACGAGTCCGAGCCGGGAGAGCGATCTCGCTTCTGAGCGCGTCCATCGGTGTTACGGCATCTCTGCCGCTCGAGAGCATGAACGAGCTCGTCGTCCGAGTCACTAAAAAAGGATTGGATCTCAAATTCGGCAACATACTGGCTTTGTGATTCTGACATCATTTCGAACGTCGACTTTCTCGCATCCGCCTTCACTCACCTCGATTCACTCTTTGCTCCAGGACTCCCATCCGTACCCCTGAAGTCGGGGCACTGAAGCCAAGAGACACCGAAATTCGATTTACTTTCTGAAATTCAATCCGCATACTTAGTCTCAATCTGAGATGAGTGTTATACGGAATCCGATATCTCCAGTACCGGCTCCCTCTCAGAACTGCAGGTGTGTTTTCCCACATTCCACGCAAGAGAACGTGTCTTCCCTACTCGATGGCCTTCTCTGAGTTTTGGGAATGTCTCCGACTCGATCGTACCTTTCCCAAATGACTTAGAACGCATGAATACGAGGAAAATGCACTTGTATCGTCAGCTACTGATTTTAACTCACTCTCATCTCCGGCGTAGGCAGGAAACATCGCAATGGTGGGTCTCCTTGCAAGATCACTCAGGACAGCCTCGAGGAGTCAGAGCTCTTCATCGACGCAGATTCCTACAGAACCTCATAGAATAGCCGCTTGATCCACGATTTCGTTTTTCGAACGTCACTCCGAGCAGCGGCGCGGCGGGGATGCCACTTCGGGAATCAGCTGGTTCCGTCCAGAGTTCCGTCGCTTAGCTCGGGCCAGGATTCCCACATCATGCTCGAGGACCTTCCTGAGCAAGAGGGGACTCGTCTTGCAGAAAGCGACTCATTGCGATATCGAGGAGAATCCGGATTCCAAGCAACTTGCCCCCTGCGAGACCACTATTCATCGAAGGAGTGCTTGTGCTGACGGGATATTTCAGCGAGCGGAGACACCTATTTATTTCAGTCAGGAGAGAGAAGCACCTCTGAGCGGTCGACAGTGCTTGGAATTCAGCATTTCACGCCAAGTACGGGAAGTACCTCCTTTGCATTGGCTCAGTCGTCCTCGAACGAGCCGCATTTCCACATACTCACAGAGAAAACTTCTCAGATAAGGCATCAGCTTTATTCGATATGAACTAGGCCCAATCCTCTTCGTAGCGAGACAAATATTCGCAGATATGAGGGAAATCAAATATATTATGTTTGTATAGGTTTCCGGAGCGGATTAGAACTTTTCCGATTCAGCTCATAGTCGACCCTCGGAAGAGTATCCAGCCTGCCGAATGAAGTTGCTTCTCGTAGTTTTCATTGGTACATATTTATCAACGAGCTAGTAGATCTCAGAGCACTGCCCTACTCGAAGGACTCGAGAGGTCTACGCTCGCCTCTGCAACAAGGGCAAGCGGGACAATGTTCGAGAGCGAGGCTCTCGAATCCCTCACCAAATATGTCCTAAATACAGCTCGAGCAGCGACGATTCCACCGCTCAAGGATTCTTCCATTAAATGATAGTTTCACTGCTGGATTAGGATACACATGGATGCTCAGGTCATCGCTAAAAATCGAGTAGATTCGATTCTTTCTCTCTCAGCTCACCGAAAAGTGTGATATCTGGAGGAATTACAAGGTATCGAGTAGTCGAACGAGATCAGCTGCATCTCACAGTTATTTCGACTGAATGGGGCAAGCTCAGTCGGCCGTTTTCCTGACGGGACGCGGCGACGACTCGAGTTCGGGAGACGCGTTCTGGGACTTCCGTCGAAATAAAGCTCCGAACAACGTCTCGGATCAGCTTCATTTTCCTATAAGGCTCCTCAGACCTATTCATTTTTTATGGGTGAAACAAAACACTGAGAACGTTCCTCCACGGGCTATCTGTTTCGAGATTACTTCTCTCGATACGAGGCCTTTCTTGCCCATCTGACGACACAGCTCCACAGGTTTGTCGTCTGCCGATAGCAGCAAATAGTATCTGCAAGACAGAAAATCGGTACGCGTCAAGAGACATAATTCTGATCGGTTGCCCGGGGCCTGGAGTCAGGGTGGGGGTCCCCACGCTGGAAAACTCATCTGAGGGACTATCCCCGGTCAGCGATGAGGGACGAAAGTTTCTCACCTTCCTTTCGGGGCCAGGAGTCGAGAGATGAAGGGGAGAATTTGATTATTCTTGTCGTTGCTCTCGGGACTAAGAACTAGGACGTCGACTTTATTCAAAAGTCTCGGCAGGAAACACTGGATGCGGTCGGAGAGGACTGGTTGCGTTCCCTTCAGCGTTTCTGAGGCCTCGAGCCGGGTCAGGAAGCAGACGGGATTCGTTTTCAGCGCTGCGGAAAGCATGAGGTTAACGTTCTGTACTCGTCCTCGACTTCTGCGGATGGTCGGGCGATGCGATTGGACTCGGACTCACCAGCTTGTTCCAGTAAACTTCTCACATCGGCGTCGCCACCAAGCTCCAGACACAATGTGGGTTTGAAGTCTTTCCCGAACACGGGATGCGACGCGTCTTTCCGTAGAGCGTCCGAGAGCAGCTCTCGAGGGGGCTCGGCTTTCTCTTCGGGAACATGAGCCTCTTGCGGCGTCTGGGAAGGAGAACTCCCGTGGATTAACTTCGGCCGCTCAGATCTATTGCGGAACTATCGTGTACACCTGATTAAGGGATCCGAGTGAAAGCCTCGAAGGCCTCTTCGACAACCGAGTAAACTTCTTGCCGAATGATGCGAGAACAGAACTTTTAGTCATGATGTTTACTGGAGAACTTTCGGGACGAGTCGGAGCGAGGAATCCTCAAGGGTCGGTGCTGCGAGTTCCTCCGACCCCTCAAATGAGCGCCTGCATTTGATTGTCTGAGGATCACCGCGTCCGCAACGAGCCCACCCATGGCGCCGTCATTGTTATAATCATCGGATCGTCGCGGAAACTTGCGGTAGGAACGAGGTGACGTCCAGTAAGTGAATTAGATAGCATGACGCGCTGGAGACATCAGGACAACATCGATGAATAATCAGGCGGGCTGGGGCCCCTTTCGACTGACGTAGCGATCGCCAACCGATTACTTCTTGGGGTGCCTATCCGATCGAAACCAGGGAGACTCGACGGGAAATCAGGAACCGCATCGTTCCTCCTCCAGAACCCGCTCGACAATGCCCATCGACGCCTTCCAAGGAGTTTCCCTGTCCATTCCTTCTGTGACGACCTAGGAAATGTCCAGGAACCGAGTCACCTGGGTAGCAACAATACTTCGAAACTGACCTCCTGACTTCCTTCTTCGCTCTCGACAATGTCCGCGGCCATCACGCACTGTCTCGAACGTTCGTCCCCGGTGCGGTGGGTCGGAGATGGGCGGAAAAGTCCCGAATTTCAGCGACAGAACACAGCTGATTTCCGCGAAACGTTCAGGAGAACACGCGTCGCTAACAAAAGCTCTGTAGTGACTGCCGTCCTGGCTGGCTTGAGGAGCCTCTCTCTCAAACGGACGGACACACGCACTCGAATAGACTTGACGACTATGGCCCTGAATCGGCGCACTCTTTCGCTCCCCGTCAGGATTTCCCGTCCTGCGGACAGGCGCGCCTCCGCTCCACATGTTGACTCGGGATCCCGTCGTGTGGCTGCAGAGAATCACTTCAACCTGTAGCTCTCGTCTTTGCTCTCGAACAAGAAGTTCTATAACTTAGCAATGCTTCAGATCATGCTTCTTACGCAATGAATATCGCAATTCACTTGCATGCGAATCGGAATCGATTCGGGACAACGCTGCAGAAAACACCCGGGAGCGACGGCTCAATCGATCGCATCCTTCGAGGAGGTGACCTCGGCGAATTGCGAGTGAACGGTTTGACTCCGTCCGAATAGTTCCATTTCGTCGGGGCGGGCGGGATCTTCTAGGCAGGTTCCGTGTCGAGTGGGATCGCCGCTTTCTCGCGAGAACGAGTTCCAGGGCTTAGCGCCCCGGTTGGGTCCGTTCCGTTGTCGAGTCTCCTCCTAATATAGAGTTTTTGACGTTTGTGTCTTCGAAAAACCGCAGCTGGGGCTAATGATGGGCCAATAATCGAGGAGCATGATACCGCGCCACAAGGGAACGGTCCCGTTAAGCACCTGCGCTCGGTTCGGGAGATATTGGACTTACCCCATCATGAACCCGCCGGGGTGTCACAAAATAGACGAATCCAGTGTTCCAAAAGACCGAGGAAGTCAGTGAAGAATTCGGGATCCCTACCCAAACGCGACGCTCACGAATCATGCAGGAGCAATGTCGGGCGGAATTCCCAGTATGACGATGGTCTTCTCTCAGCTTCGTTGACGGCATCAAGTTCGAGGATAACGGCGCCGGAACCATCAAACTTACCGCGTCTCTCCTCCCTCTAGGACAGAGCCTCGTCCCCCATGGCCGTGTGCGAAGTGTCCATGTACATCGAACATAATCAGGCTACGTTTCATCACTTCCGTCGTATTGTCTAATCATTAATCTCTTGTTTCCCTTCTTCTGGGTTAAGCTTCTCGGTAACCGGGAAGGAAGAGAGTATGATGTCGATATTTATATATTTAGTCTATCATTCAAGATGTAAATGAGTTTCGTAGAAAGCCGTGACTCAAGACTTTCCACAACTGACTGCAACGGAGTTTTAGCGGAGCCTCGAATGGGAGGTTGCTCGATTCAGCCGTTGAGCGGTTTCATGTTTCTTTTTTTTTNTTTTTTT